CCCTGTCCGTGACGTCCGAGATGTTGGCGGGCAGGGATGTGGCCATCCACGGGCCAAGCAGGCAGGCCGTGCACCAGTTGGGGGCACGGCTGTGGCCAACGAGTCCTACGGTTGCGCCGCTCGTGCACGACGCCAACACCAGTAGCACCGCTGTGCGCGCTTCCGATGATGTTGGCTGGCCGTGCTCCCTTAGCCAGGGGACAGTTGCCCCGCTCAGCAGCAGCGATGTCGCGAGAGCCTCCGACGATGAGGCATGACTTGGCACACTCCAGCAAAGGAGACGTCCGAAGCTACGACCCTTGTCAGGCTACGTCGAGGTAGGAGGTTGGGGAGTTGACCGGCAACCTCTCCACGTCGGAGTCATCAAGGTCCTCATCCGCCCATCGACGAGCCTTGGAACACCCCATCGAGCCATCCCTAGGGTGGAAGGAGGAGGCAAGGGGGGACAGAGAGGACGACAGTCTAGGCGTGGAAGGGTGGACGAGGAAGACGTCGATCACCGACGATGGAGGAGGCCGCAGCGGCGAGTTGGTAGCCGAGTTCGTCGTCACTACCAGCGAGGTTGCAGGCCGTGGTAGCTGCGGCGACTACTGTGCGGAGGATTCCCCAACATTGGTGGCAGCTGAACCGCCCACCCGGAGCCCATCGGCACAGGCCCCACCATCGTCGGTCGGCCACGGAGCTTGGTCGAAAATCGAGTGGCGACCGATGCGGTCCCAGATCTGGGCTCATCAACGTGGCCCTAGATCTAGGCTCGCCGGTGTCACTAGCAGCGGCTGCTGTAGGGGCGGCCATAGGAAGAAGGTGGTCGAGGCAGCCGACGCGTTGCCAACACCGATGAGGATGGCGCCAGACCCGCTCCCGGAGGCGGCGGCCGAGCGTCCTCCCTGCGAGCCGCATCCGCGCTAGCGTCCTGCTAAAGTGCGCCCGGGTGGAGAGGTCCACCCTCATTAGAAAGAAGGGAGAGGTGTCGACAAAAAAGGCTCGACAGTCCACCGAGGGGTATCCCACGATGGTAGATTTGTCGTAGAGGCGAGCGAGATCAGGAGCGAGATAGTAATACAAGCACTAAGACACAAGATTTAGACAGGTTCGGCCGTCAGTATGACGTAATACCTACATCCTATGTTCTGATGTATTGCATTGAGATGTATCGATCTGTGGAGATCTGTCCACTAGGGGATCCCTGCCTCTCCTTATATACTCTGGAGGAGTAGGGTTACAAGGAAAGTAACCTATTTGGTACTATACAATATCTTACGGTGCACGCCGAGCAGCACCGTGCACGCCTTGATCTTATGGGTTGGGCCACCTCTGATGGTGCGACCCATGTCTTGTCTTGTGGATATCGGGGGTCGTACCCCCACAGCTAGTCCTCGAGCCTGACAGTAGGTGACGTAGTCACGTAGTGCCAGGGTCAGAAAGTAGAAGACCAGTCGAGCAGGCAGCCAATCCCCGGGCGTAGACTCAAGATGAGAAACGCACATTCACCACAAGGTGAAGTGTGCCCACTTAGTCCCCGAGCTTGCTGGAAGATGAAGAATAAATCTTGTAGCATGGTCAAAGAAGTCTAAAAGCTTTGCCGACGTCGTCCGACATGCGCGTATCAAGACCCCAGACGTGCTGCCCAAGATCAGCACCCTGATCCGAAAAGCATGGAGCAGCTTGATAGCACACCGATGGGACGTAGCAAGATCCGACCACCAAGGGAGCACCGAGGAGTCCCCGGTGTCGCTAGCGATGTCCGAGCACCGAAGAGCGAGGAGTCCCCGGCGTCGTTGACGATGTCCGAGCACCGAAGAGCGAGGAGTCTCCGGCGTCGCTGGCGACGTCCGAGCACCGAAGAGTCCCCGGTATCGCTGGTGATGTCCGAGCACTGAGGAGGGAGGAGTCCCCGGCGTCGCTGGCGATGTTCGAGCACCGAGGAGTCCTCGGCGCCGCTGGCGATGTTTGAGCACCGAAGAGCGAGGAGTCCCCGGCGTTGGTGGCGATGTCCGAGTACCGAGGAGCGAGGAGTCCCCAGCGTCGGTGGCGATGTCCGAGAACCGAGGAGTCCCCAGCGTCATTAGCGATGTTCGAGCACCGAGGAGTAACCGGCGTAGCTGGCGACGTCTGTGCGGTGAAGTGTGCCCACTTAGTCCTCGAGCACGAAGAATCCGAGGGCCGAGGAGTAACCGGCGTAGCTGGCGATGAAGCACGAGCGACGAACAGTCTGGTCAACTGGTCGGCGACAAAGTGAGCATTGAGTAGAAAACGACCGGCGAACAGTCCGATCAACTGGTAGGCGACGGAGTCCATGAACCAAGCGGTCCGACCAGTTGATCGGTGGAGAAGCCCGAGCACCAGGTGGTCCGATCACCTGGACGATGATCCTGCAATACAAATATATAGAACATATAGTACATGATGTAAAAATATATGAACTCCGGAGAAAAAAATAGCGTATGTAGCTCGACGATCAGTTGGAGCGAAGATATATTTATATTTAATATAAACTGCCCGACCAGTTAGTGTGTAGCTGAGTCTCCAGCCCTAGCTAGCCCGTTAACCATAACGCAGGGCGCGGAGCCCGTGCACATGTAGGAAGAACAAAGCGTCGCTACGGAGCCGCTGTCGACCACCCATAACGCAGAGGGCAGACGCTCGTGCACGTGTAGGGAGGAGCCGGGGACAGGGCCATCTCTGGAGGCATCCGAGCATCAACATGACTGTTCGGGGGTTCGGAAAATCGTTTGGAGAGCAAATATGGAGAAAACAGCTTGGAGAAACATTATGGCGATATACGGAGATCGGAGAATATTTAGAAGAATATTAAAGCGTGACTTAGCTTTAGACAGAAAGACTGGTCGACGACGTATGGAGTTATCTGGTCGGTGTTGACGACGAGCATTTGGCGGCCGGTGAGTTGATGGTGAAGGCGACCTCGGAGGTGGTTCCAAGATCGGATCTGCTGTCGCGGGGGCTGGTGTAGCCAGCGATGAATCATCATCGTGGACCGGCATGGATCTCCACGAGATTGATGACGATAACGCGATGTTGATTTGAGGTCCATCTGGCTCGCCATGGATCAAGCGCACACCCCTACCTGATGCGCCAACTGTCGACAAAAGATGCTCGGTAGTCCACCGAGGGATATTCCACGATGGTAGATTTGTCGTAGAGGTGAGCGAGATCAGGAGCGAGATGGTAATACAAGCACCAAGACACCAGATTTAGACAGATTCGGCCATCAGTATGACGTAATACCTACATCCTGTGTTCTGATGTATTGCATTGAGATGTATCGATCTGTGGAGATCTGTCCACTAGGGGACCCCTGCCTCTCCTTATATACTCTGGAGGGGTAGTGTTACAAGCAACGTAGCCTATTTGGTACTATACAATATCTTGCGGTGCACGCCGAGTAGCGCCGTGCACGCCTTGATCTTGTGGGCTAGGCCACCTCTGATGGTGCGGCCCATATCTTGTCTTGTGGATACCGGGGGCCGTACCCCCATAGGAGGGGATAAGGAGAGGGCCGGCGACGGCGAACCGGAGTCCGACGGTGTCGAAGTCGGGGAGTGGCTGCCCGGTGCAGATCTGGCGGATCAGCAAACACCAGCGCCATCGTTCTCCTCCTGCTGCTGTGCCGCGCTCGTCCTCGGCGTAGCACAGACCTCACCGTCATCTTTCTTGGACAGTACTTGTTGCTTGAGTGTGGTGGGAGACATGGAGGCCTCGGCGAGGATGCTCGCGAGCGACTGCGGCTTGTAGTCGGACGCAGCAGAGCTGGTGGACGAGGCAGTAGGGATGGGAGGGGAGTGGGAGGGGGCGGGGGAGGGGGCCGCCGGCGCCGGCGAGGCGGCTGCCGGCGGGGAGTGGGTGGCGGCCGCTAGGGGCACCGCCTTACCTAGGGTTCGGGAAGGGCCGAACGCCCACACTTCACGTCTTCACCCCAAATTTCACAGACATTGACAATAATACATTAACACTCCTCTCCAGATCCAAAGGAGCGCGGCGTTAGTGTTTTGCGATTTTACAGAGGTAAACTCAACACAAACAAAACTGCTCATATATGTACCCAAGTTTTGCGATCTTACAGAGGTGCAATAAAATGGAAGAACTGTACATACATGACCTTTGGTCTCAACTCTGAAATCACAGTGGGCATGCTTTAGCCTGCGAGTCTGTGACAGAAAGAAGCGATCAGCAAGGAAGGTTGAGTACCTTCCCCCCGAGTAAGGATGAAAACGGAACGAAAATATCCCGAACCGAACCGCATCGTTTTCTATATTTAATCCGATCGAATCCGTATTTTCTTATCCGACTTTTCCGTTTTCGCTTTCGCATTTGAGATGTTTCGTATTTCAAATTAAAAAGTAGAAAACGGTTTACACATTTTTCGACCGTTTTCTACTTTTCTACTTTTAATTTGAAATATTCCGAATTCAAAATTCGGTTTAAACCGAATTTTATTAACTCGCGCACAGTCATCTGACCCAATTACAAGCTGCTCACCAGTCACCACGCAGCTGCGTTCTTTCTACTGGTGGCTAGCTGCCCTCTCTTATAGACGACGCCCAGCCTCATATCTCTTATTATGTATTTGGTCGTGCACTTGTTTAATGCTATGCACTTGAACTAGATCATGCACTTGTTAGTTTTGAACTTGTTATGTATTTGGTCGTGCACTTGTTTAATACTATGCACTGTGGGTTGGTATTTCGTATTGAATTTTCGCATACCGACCGTGTTCGACATAATTCCGCTCGAATTGTTTCGTTTCCGAAATTCTAGATATTCTGTAAGTTCGTGTTCGTTTTCGCGTCCGGCTTGTCCGCCGCTTTCGCTTTCGCTTTCGTATTTCAAATATAAAAGTAGAAAATAGTTGAGAAGTTTTTTTTTTTTTGATCGAGTTCGACCGTTTTCATCCTTACCCCCGAGTCTATCGGTCTCACTCATGGGCATCCAATCCAATGCAAGCTTTCACAAACAAAGTGCTTCGGTTCACTGTCCGCTAGTTAGCTAAGCTGGAGCTCCATTTCCATGGTGAGGTAACAACAGTCGTGGTCCAACTGCCGGAGCTGCCCGTGGAGGTCTCTAATAGCTGACATGACCTCCCGCGTCCGCGGATGCGAGCGGTCGCCGGCCACAAACTCGCAAGCCACGCCATCCACCTCTAGCATGCTGCACCCGGGCACCTTGGCCACCTTCCTGTCCTCCATGTTCCGGCGGACCTTGAGCACCTCCTCCCACTTGCTCCACCCGGCGTACATGTTGGACAGCTGCACGTGCACCCCGCTGTGGTCCAGCCCCAGCTCCGCCAGCCACCGCACCACCTGCTCCCCGGCCTCCACGTCGCCGTGCGCCGCGCAAGCATTCAGCAGCGCGCCCAACACGTACGAATCAGGCCTCATCGGCATCGATCGCACGGCCTCCATGGCCTCCGCCAGCAGCCCAGCGCGGCCCAGGACGTCCACCAGGGACCCGTAGTGCTCCACGCCGGGCTCCATGCCGTGCACCGCCGCCATGCTGCGGAACACCTCCTTGGCGCGGTCGACGAGGCCCGCGCGGCCGCAGGCGGTGAGCACGCAGATAAAGGTCACCTCGTTGGGGCGCACCCCTTCAGCCTGCATCTGCCCGAACAGCTCGATCGCCTCCCCGCAGCGGCCGTGGTCCGAGAGCCCCGAGATCATGGCCGTGTAGGTGAACACGTCCCGCTGCCCCCGTGGGGCCGCTGCAAACACCTGTTTCGCCGTGTCCAGGCTCCCGCACTTGGCATACATGTCCACCAGCGCCGTCGCCACCACGCCGTCCATCGCTGCTGGACCATCACCGTGGGCGCCAACCAGCAAGGCGTGCACCCACCTGCCCTGGTCCAGCGCCCCGAGCGCCCCGCAGGCAGCCAGCACCCCGACCACCGCCGCCCTGTTGGGGCGGACGCCGGACCTGAGCATGTCCTCGAACAGCCGCACGGCGTCGGCGAAGCTGCCCGCGGCCACGTAGGCGCTCAGCATGGCGCTCCAGGCGACGTCGTTCCTGCGGGGCATTCCGTCGAACAGGGCGCGCGCCTCGTCCACCTGCCCGGCCTTGGCGCAGGCAGTGAGGAGTGACGTCCAGGAGCACACGTCGGCCGCACGGGAGGCGACGGCGTCTCCAAAGAGGCGGCGGGCGGAGGGCAGGACGCCGTGGGTGGCGTAGGCGTGGATGAGGCCGTTGGCGACGTAGGCGTGGGCGTCCCAGGCCAGGACGACGGCGAGGGCATGGAGAGAGGGGACGATGGCGTGGGCGCCGAAAGGGGAGTCCGGTCTCAGAGACGCTGGGGCTGACGAATCAGCGGCAGCTTTAAGGAGGAAGGAGAAGGTGTAGTTGTTCGGCCGGAAGTCGGGGAGGATGCGGCGGAGGCGCGGGAACAGGCGGAGGGCGCCGAGCGGGTGCGCCGGGAGCAGCGAGCGGAGGAGCTGGTTGGGAAGGAACCGGTCGGCGAGGAGGTGCGAGAAAGAGCTGAGCAGGTGCGCGTCCACCTGCCGGAGCTGAGCGGCGCTCAGCGACGGCCGGCACAGCAGCTGCAGCGCCGCCGTCGGCCATTGCATTGCGATTGCAGCCGGCCGAAATGGCGGCAGTGGCTGCCCATCTCCAGGCCCACCGGTATCTCGCTTAGTTGGGCTTTATATGGTCTGAGGTTGTGAGAAGGGCCGGTCCAACCTGGCCCACTCACACCAACCATCTAGCCCATCCCGCCTTCCAAGGCAAGCGAAGCGGCACGGCCAGAACCCAGAGTTGTTGGTGCCTTCGTGTTGGTGGTGGTGCGCGTCCCGTCGGGAGGAGGAAGAAGCCGCAGGCCAACAGGCAGCAGCAGCCATCAGGTGGCGGGGATGGGTCGCAGCGGCGGGATGGGGAACCCGGTCAACGTGGGCATCGCAGTGCAGGCAGACTGGGAGAACCGCGAGTTCATCTCCAACATATCCCTCAACGTCCGACGCCTCTTCGACTTCCTCCTCAGATTCGGTCAGCTCCTCTTCCATTTCCCCCCGGGCTACCCTCTCACGATCTGCATCTCCCACCTGGATTTGCTCGGATCTGCTGCCGCTGCCTTCTCATTTCATTCAGCGCGGTGCTTAATTGTCCTTGCCGGTCGCAGATTGCACGCCACGCCGGGGCGAGGAGGGATTTGCCCTGCCCTGCCCGAGCTTATGTCTAGTACGAAGTACAGTAAAATTCTCGCGGCGTTTGATGTCAGCTAATTGCTCAAACAATTCATGTGATTGGGTGCTTTAACTTGTCCTTGGGGAACAATCAATGTGCCGGTGACGTTTGATGTCAGATAATTTGGTGTAGTAGCACACCCTAACAGCCGTCTGATCTGTACGACATTTTCTGCCCGCTCGTTGGAAAAACCTTGTGGACTCATTCGGAGCTAGAAACTTAACTATCTTCAGACCTTTCACAAGCCCATCGCTACTTACCAGCCTCATGCTCGTTGTCAATTAGGTTCAGGTTTTACATGAAGTAGCTGTAACTTGCGGTAACTAAGTACTGCCGGGGTCAGTTTGCCTGTTACAGAATTTTCCGGCAGACTTCATTTCTTTTCCATCTGCAATCAGGAATTAGTCGAATCTAACACAACCTGACAGCTGCCACAGGCATCACCAACATGGGATTCAGATCTCAAAACCACTTGTTGAGACAAGGCTTTACAACGCCGCACTTAATTATACCATGAGTGTTTAAGTTGGAATGTTAACGTTTCAAGGATAAACTTATTAACTACCTGATGGTTAGGGCTGTCAAAAAAAAAAACACCGCAAGGCTCACAAGCTACTTGAGGTCAGATCGATATAGTCTTGATTCGAGGTTTCATGGAGCTTCAGTGTTGTAATATTCAGCAGTGTGGTTAAGGCTCGATTTAGTCCTCTCTAATATACCCCACATGATTTCCTCTCAGATTTTCTGCAAGAGCTTTTTCTACAAGTTATTGTATTGAAGGGTAGTTTCTCAGTTTCCTGAGTCGAGCTGGAGCTAACTTGAGCTTAAGTTAAGTTTTATGGCATGATTTTCACTGAGAGAGTAGCACTCAAGGTTTGACAAGTCCAGCTTGAGCCTACTAGAGCTACGAGCTTTGACTAAGCCAAGCTCTAGCTCTTTAATCCACTTAGGCTTGGCTAGAGCCTGTACCAAGATCTAAGCTAGGCAGGCAGGTTCGCTCAAGCTTCGATTGTTGGCATCCCTTCTGATGATTGAGCTTCCTATGTCAATAAATGTTTTTCTGTGAGTTGCTATGGCCTAAGCAGGAATCCCCTAATTCTTGTACAGTCGCATATGGGGATGCAGCAAGAACTTTGGGAAACTCGTATGAACAATAGATACGTTCTCGAAACAAGATTTGTGGTTTCAACTAGAAAGTAGCCCAAGATGGCTTCATGTTTGAAGTTTCTCTTACTTTTTTTCCACCATGGTCGAAACCGAATTTCATTACTGAAAGCAATGAAATTACATGGTTTTTGTGATACGCAAGACAAACAGCACAAAAACAACACTAAAGCCATCTCTCCTAGACACCCAGGCTCCAGCAAGATAGGCAACCAAGTTTGTCTTACTTGAGCCAAGTCATTTATGGTAACACAAAGGGCGTACCCAGTGCAGAGAGCTCCCGCTCTGTGCGGGGTCTGGGGAAGGGTGTCAGTGGCAAGCCTTACCCTCGCCTGTGCAATGCGAGGAGACCGCGACTCGAACCCGGGACCTTCCGGTCACAGGCGGTAAGACTCTACCGCTTGCACCAGGCCCGCCCTTCTCATTTATGGTAACACAATTGAATCTATATCACATCGAGTTGGCGGTCCAAAATTCCACATGTTAAGTATGACTTTCGACGTTGTATGGACTAGGGTGTAGACTGGTTTGTCTGGGTATTTTTCTTTGACTGCTCACTGCAGTGCATGTTTGTTTGCAGTTTAACTCACCATCTACTTGGATGAGATGAGGTGTAGGAGAAAAGAAAAATGATCATGAACCAGTTACTAATATTTCCAAAGTCTGTGTGCATGCAGAAGCTACGACAAAGAGCAAGCTGGCAACTTTGAACGAGAAGCTTGACATCCTAGAGCGGAAGCTGGAGGTGCTTGAAGTTCAAGTGAGCAGCGCGACGACCAACCCTTCTGTCTTCAACTAGAAAAGTCCAAGGACCGGCGTGCATAGCCTGCATCGTGGTGTGTGTATGTATGTATGTAGGTATGAATGTTGCGTGAACGTGTGCGGCTGTGTATCATCTTTCCAGATGTTGGAGTGGCATGTAAAGCACCACTACCGCTAGTATCATTGTTTGTACAATTGGAATGTTGCACAAGTAGACGGCAAGTTGCACGTTTGAGTTTCCGTGGAGGTAATTGATAAGAGTGTTTGCTGGACATGTTGTCATGTGTTTGTGCCCACGCTTTTAGAGCCAACTTTGTGACGCTTGTTGGCTCCTTGTACCCGGTAGGCAACGAATTCCTGTCTGTGCTATCGTATGGGATCATCAAATGAATTTCAGCGGACTGACTTGGTTTGATTTCTTGTATGTGCGCTTATGAGGACTTCTTATGATGAGGAATGGGGGTGGTGATATCAATTAATTTCTTGGATTGCTTAGCAAATGCGTATGTGATTTAGGTTAATTATAGTCCTTGAATCAAACATATTTTCAGCGGTTTATTATTGTGATATATGTGTGAGGTGTAAAGCAAACATACTTGTCAAGTAGTGAGTGCAGAATCGAAAAGATAAAATGGAGTTCGGGTAGGGAAGAAAAGCACGGGAGATGTGGCCCTGGTGTTGTATCCCCTTGCCACCACACAACTGGTGACTCCTGCCTGCTCTGCTGTTGCTGCCTCCTCTCTTCTCTTCTCTTCTTCTCCCCGTGGCCACACAGCCGGACGCGGACAGGGCTGCCTCCTGCAGGAGATCCTCCTCCTGGGATGATCTAGCAAAGCATAGCTTACTGCTCGGATTCGATTCGTCCTTCTCTTCGTCGTTTCGTAAGTTGCCATCTCCATCTCCTCTACTAGCTAGTTTATATATACATAATAATACCCTTGTATGCTTCATTCACTGGATTCTACAGTACTTCTTTCCTTTCCTATCTTTTCACTATCTGAATGAATTGTTGATGTATGGCATAATAATATGCTAATCGGAAGGAGGGGGAAAAAGAAAACGTTCTTTGAATTTGGGGGAAGGATGACAACAAGGAAGAATTTAAAAAGAGAAAAAAATCGGGGCATTCCGAGAATTGAACTCGGGACCTCTCGCACCCTAAGCGAGAATCATACCACTAGACCAAATGCCCTGTGCTGTCATCATCGAAACATAGATTTTATTCATCTATCAACAAAACGATTTTAAAAACAAAGGTTGCTGCTGCTGCTCACTGCATTCCTCAGCTCCTATTCAATTTGCAGAGCACGAGAGAGAGAGAGGAGGTGAAGAAAGGATCGGAGGCGAAGCCACCATATATTTCTTGCTTGTGATCGATGATGAACTCCCAGAACCTTCAGCTGCAGCTGCCCGTTCAGGATCTGAGCCTGAGAGGGAGATCATTCATCAGCAAGCCCACCAACAAGGTGATGGTGATGCACCACCAGTGCCCTGCAGCTGCAGCTTCGTCGTCTTCACCAGCTGCTAGAGGCCTTCAGGTTCCCCATCCCAGCAGGACGCGTCCTCGTGCCCTCGTTGCGGTCAGAGCGACCGGCAGTGGTGACGATGCATCATCAGGAGGTGAGTCGTCGTCAAGTAGTGGCGGGGAAGAAGAGGACGATGACGAGAAGCAAAACTACAGCAGCGACAAGGAGGGCAGCGGCGGTAGGTCGTCGTCGGGCGGCGGCGGCTTGTCCAGGGACGATCTGGAGCGCCTGGTCGGAACTGACGACGATGCCAAGTTCAATGGGTTGGATCTTGCAAACCTCATCAGGAAGAAGTACGGCAGGTCGTACGATGTAACATTGATAAAGAAGGTACATACATATATACGTACGTGATGCATATATGACTCAATTTCTCTTCTGTGCTTCATCAGCTAGCTAGCATTATTCACATGATGATTATACGCCTGCCTGCCTGCCTGCCTGCAGGAGTTCATGGGAAGGAATCTGCTGGCCATGAATGTGATGTGGAAGTACAGGGAGCAAGTGAGTAGCCGCTTGGACATGCATGATATGCAATCCAGTCATGTATTATATATGTATAATTGTATATATCTGCTAATATTATTAGCAATAGGTAGCCGATATACATATATTATGCGTTAAAAAATAATATATACTAATATACATATATTATGATCTATCAGAGATCGTTCCCGCTGAGCGAGGAGGAGTACCTGCTGCGACTGGACGACGTGGCCAACACGCTCAAGTGCTGGGGAGCCGTGGCGCACGTGCGCAACACGCTGGAGAAGCTCAAGGAGAGGCCGCGCATCGGCAAGGCCGTCAGCATCTTCATCGACATGGACCAGACCGGAGGACGCTCCAACGAGTGGATCTACAAGTAGTACTAGTAGCTTAATTAGTAGCCAAAGAGATTATACAGGTCCGTTCACTTAAACTTATCAGCCGTACCG